CAAGAAAACTTAATCAATGATTGCCTTTAACCCTTTTCATATGATTATCTTAAAATCCCATAACAAAGGATAACATAATCCGTGACTGATATATTCTATAAACCTTTTTCATCCTAAACTGATTGATTTATGCCAAGTTAAACAATTCTATAGAAGCTTCAGTATTTACTTTACAAATGAAAGTGGCCCATCCCAGAATGTTTGGAATGTGGCCCAGTCCAAAGTTCACAGTGGGCTACCTGCAAGTAACCCAGCCACATTCTTTCAACAAAATGGCTATCTTCTAAAACTATATTCTACAATTTACATCTTCAATAAATCCTAAGATCATGACCCAGAAGCCTGTGACCAATACTGAGGCTCTTAGATATGACACGAGTTTGAATTATAAGTTGTGTGAAAACCAAAACTGCAGGTTGCGGAAGAATGGGAGCAATGAGCTTCTAGAGTTAGCTTGTGTTCGTCCCGGTCTCAAGAGTTTTTATGTTTTGAGCTCACAGGAGCTTAATCTGGTTAGTGCTGAGTAGAAAGGGGGAGGAAATGGGGTCAATAGCTCCCGAACGCATCCTAGTGGTCTCGGGGTCAACGGCCCTTCCTGATCCCTAACGCTCAGTGGGCCTCCGTGGCCGGCTCCCAACAACTGTTATGCACAATACATGAGGCCGCGGATGTTGAATGTTTAGCATAATGCTGGCCACAATAAATGTTAACCATACATTCAGAAATCCATGAAGGAGACACAGAGCAGGCACTGTAAGCAAAAACAGGCCAGGCATGGTGGCTCACACCTGTAATTCCAGCACTTTGGGAGGCTGAGGCAAGAGTGTTACTTGAGCCCAGGAGTTCAAGACCAGCCAGGGCAACATAGCAAGACCTCATCTCTACAAAATATCAAAAAAATTAGCCAAGCATGGTGGCGCATGCCTGTAGTCCTAGCTACTCAGAAGGCTAAGGTGGAAGGATTGCCTGAACCTGGGGGGTTGAAGCTGTGGTGAGCTGTGATCATGCCGCTGCACTCTAGCCTGTGTAAGAGTAAGACTCCAATTCAAAAAACAGCTTCAAAAAACTACAAGTAATTCTTACTTACATCTGGAAGTCTGTACAGCTTCATTGTTCTCTGTAAAGTCATATTTCTACTCAGGTGAGAAAATTTCACTTCTACCAATTTTCTGGGGTTTAGTGATCGATGCCAGTATCTGGAATACAATAAAGATTTTAAAGTCTAATTGATTTCTATCTCAGTAAGTTGTCACTCTTTGTCTCAGCTCAGCTGCTACATAAGCTTTTACTGAATACTTATGTTGTGCTTGACACTGACCCTCTTTCTATGCAATCATTTTATCAGTTAAATTTCTATCTTAAAATATTTTATCTTGCATTCCTAGTTATGTTCCTTTTGCATCTGTGACCCTTCAGGTCTTTCACTAAAGACGAATCTTAAAACTGCAAAAGAAATATTAATCATGCATAGGTTTGCAAGTGTTTAAGGACCATATCACTGATTCTATAAAAGACAAATCAAAATGTTTAAAAATATGAACACAGTTCCCTTAAATTAGTAGCCTTCACATTTACAGAATGCACAACAAAGAAAGCAAATTTTTGAGAAACTAGCTTGAATTTCTTATGTGATTCCAGCTTGGATACTGGGATAAGTGATTTGTATTAAAATAAACCTGTGAAAGTCTATTATTCCATTTACTTATGAATGTAATAACATAATAGGATATAGTAATTTTAGAGTGTTACCTTTTATAGTATGTTTATTTGAAGTTTCATCCTATTTGAGTCAATAAAAATAGCAGAAGGAGATCACACCTGTAAGCCCACACTTTGGGAGGCTGAGGTGGGAGAATAGCTTGAGCCCAGGAATTTGACACCAGCCTGGGCAGCATAGCAAGACCTTGTTTCTACAAAAAATTAAAAAAATTAGCCAGGCGTGGTGGCATGTACCTATAGTCCAAGCTACTTGGGAGGCTGAGGCAGGAGGATCACTGGAGTCTACAAGTTTGAGGCTGCAGTGAGCTGGGATCATGCCTCTGCACTCCAGCCTGGGTGACAGAGTGAGACCCTGACTTAAAAAAAAATAGATAAAATAAATATATAAATAAATAAAAATAGCAGATGGAGATAAATTCTGATGTTCTAGAAACAGTCCAGCAGCAATCTGATCGTTTCTTATTGGAATAACCTTGGAAGGTGTGGTGGGAGCAGACGAAGTCATAAAAACAGAGCTGAAGCCTCCTTCTTACTATGAGTAAACAAGTACATCCAGGGCTTTTCAACTGATGCTCATCAGACTCTCAGAATGGTTCAGTAGTGCAGGAAACTAAGTGCTGGGGTGGAAAGAAATGGTACGATGCTGGGCATTTCAAGATCACAATGCCTGGAGTTTCCCCAGCAGAGACAGCATTGGTCTCTCACACAGAAGTATAGACCCAGCATCATTAGCAAGAAAATGTTAAAAACTTTTTAAAAATTTTAGTTACCAAGTACCAGGAGTGGTAGCTCACTCCGGTAATCCTGGTACCTTGGGAGGCTGAGGTGGGAATGCCGGAGCCCAGGAGTTTGAGACCAGCCTGGGCAACACAGCGAGACCTTGTCTCTATTAAAAAGAAAAAATCCCCAAGTGACTATATGATATACTGGAAATACTGGACTCAGTGATTCTAGGTTCTAGAAAAACTACATAATCACAGATAGGCCCAAATCCCCGAGTGACACCTGAGGAAAATATCCAACATACTTGGTAAAGGTGAGCCCTGAGGTGGGATGTGGGGCTGTTACCTGCACGTGGCCACTGGCTTAGGAAGAACGACCCCAGCTGTATACACGGCCTGAAAGATCCCTTCCAAGTTTACTCTTCTGGTTATCTCCCGAATTAACACTGGGGCTACCCGTTTTGATCTCAATTTCTTATGAACACAAAGAAAGTTGATTTCTACCATCTTCTTCATACTAGGAAATAAAGATGTTGAAAATTAGAGCCGACGATTTCTTTCGCCCATGGCAGTTCTGGCATGTCTCCCTTTCTTTTCTCCCTTCTTTCTCTAATAAACTTTGTTTTAAAACTTTACTGGTTACTCTAAAATTTATTTCGAACAAGCCAAAGAATACATGAGTTTTGTGCCACACCCCACCCGGCATCACTAAGAGCACATTAATTGCAAAACTTTCTGAACCAGTATTAATTACAAAATATTAAGGTTGTTTTTAATGACAGTCTTGTTACAAAAAAATTAAAGACAACATAGGATGGACACATTTAAAAAAAAAAACCTATAAAATTTCAAAAAATAAGAATGCAAATGATGTCCTTAAACACAATATTTAAGAAAATAGTCTGTCATTTAGACATTTCACAGATTCACATTGACACACTAGTCCCCATATTCTCTTGCCAAAATTATTATGACGCTAGGCCATGGAGGCTTAAAACTTCTTGTTCTATATACATTTTAGGACTTTGGTCTTTTATAAGTTTTCAGTTTAGAAATTACAGCCTAGGCTACATGGTGACACCATGTCTCTACAAAAGATTTAAAAAATGAGCTGGGTATGATGACAGATGCCTGTAATTCCAACAACTTGGGAGGCTGAGGCAGAAGGATTGCCTGAGTCCAGGAGGCTGCAGTGAGCTGTGATTATACCACTGTGCACTCTAGCCTAGGCCACAGAGTGACCCTGTGACTTAAAAAAAAAAGAAAAAGAAAAGAAACTGGATCAGATGTGCCAATTTCCAATCAGATGGATCAAAGTTTCCGAATCTGATTTTCCTGTAATATATATAATTATGACAATAACTGGCCACCTTGGGGCAGAATCTTATGATGTTGCTTTGGAATATGATACAAATGCCCAGGATCCCCAAGAAGGGCCTTGACCAGACCAGAGCTGGTGCTTTTCTGAGCTATGGTAAACCTTCTAGAGCTTTAAAGCCTATTCCTGGACCTGCTTCCACGTACTCAGGTATGTCTCATATCCCATGAGACCAGATGCTTCTAGTGGTGAATAAGCTCGTGGAGACATACAGAGAGGTAAACAGACAATAAAGCATCAGGCATGGTGGCTCACACCTATAATCCCAGCACTTTGGGAGGCTAGGTGAGAGGATTGCCTGCGCCTATGGGTTCGAGACCAGCCTGGGCAACTTGGCGAGACCTCATCTCTACAAAAAATAAAAAAATTAGCCGGGTATGATGGCACGTGCTTATAGTGCCAGCTACTTGGAAGGTTGAGGCAGGAGGATCACCTGAGCCCAGCAAGTCAAGGCTGTGGTGGCTGTGAGTGTCCCACTGCCCTCCAGCCTGGTGACAGAGTGAGATTCTGATTCAAAAAAACAACAACAAAAAAAACTTTGACTTTCTGGGCTCGAGATCTAGAGTAAAAATGCAACAGACTTACCCTATGAAGAAAAAGTTTTTATCCCTCCTAAAATTGTTTTAGGTATTTTTTTCCCCAGAAATAAACCTGAAATACTCATTTACGGCTTGGTTTATTCTGATACATTATATGCATATATACACATGTATATGTTCATAAAACACGTGTGTACCTGTTTAAGAGTGAGCGACAGAGAGAGAAAAAGAGAAAGACTCATAGAAGCCACTGTCCTTTTTTTGTCATTCACAGTTAATATTTTTTCTTTACTAATTAATAAACTTTATTTTTTAGAGCAGTTTTATATTCACTGCAAAATTGATCAGCAAGTTCCCACACAGTCCCTGTCCCCCCCACCCCCCACAACCCCCGTGATCAACAGAGTAAGTGTTAAAGGCCTATTCTAGTTGCAATTCCTGGAGAAGAAACACACGACAACTGGCACAGACAAGCTTTGACAAGTACCTGTCATAAATCCGAATGTTTGCTGGGATGGCACTTATGAACCCAACCAGTTTTTTGTTGGAAGACACTCTGACCCCACAGTGCCACTGGAGGAGCCACCCTGGGGGACGCAGAGCCCTGGAGTCAGGGGAGACAAGAAGGACAGGCACTGGTGAGCGCCCGAGGATACAGGACAAGACACAAAGGCTCCCGACCCAACACCCTGTCCATGCATGACCAGTGAGACTCACCACAGCAGGAACTCAGGCGAGTAGTCAAACCGGAACATGTTGTCATCATCTTCCACGTAATTCTCATTTAACAACGTGTATAACTCCTTGAGCTACAAGATCAAACAAGCGTCCTACCTATGGTGCTCAGAACCAACTCAGAAGCAATTCGTGTGAACGCAGGTGCTGAATTCAAGAGTTTTACTCACCACTTCGGCATTACTCAAGTCTAGAGTGTCCCACATAAAACCCTGTGGCAAAGAATATGGTTCTTGGCGTACATTGTCTTTATCTGGTTCAATGGCACCATGAGACGTTATGACTTCGTCTAGACAGGGAGAGAAAGAGGAAAGGAAAGACGAAAAGAGACAATGTTAATTACAAAGTATTCTGACCATCCAAAATGATCAGTGACATAAAATCAGACTTAGGGCTGTTGGGTTTAATACAATCTTTTAAAAGATGCTATTGGCTGGGCTTGGTGGCTCAGCCTGTAATCCCAGCACTTTGGGAGGCTGAGGCAAATGGATTGCCTGAGCCCAGGGGTTCAAGACCAGCCCTGGCAACTTGGTGAGACCTCATCTCTACAATAAATAAAAAATTAACTGGACGTGGTTGCACATGCCTGTAGTTCCAGCTACTTGGAAAGCTGAAGCGGAGGGATCACCGGAGCCCAGTTGGTCGACACTGGGGTGACCGTAAGTGTGCCACTGTACTCCAGCCTGGGTGACAAAAACTCCAACTCAAAAATAAATAAATAAATAAAGAGATGCTATTTATCAGCTACCTCTGGACAGAAACAGGGCAGCTAGGTAGTGGTATGGAATAATTGCTATTTCACCAACTAAATAAAAAGAGAAATATTTTGCCATCCAAGGACAAAGGTGACATTATGAAACAACGGTGACTTCCCAGTCTCAACTCCTACAATGCAGATACACACATCACTCTAAGCATTGTGGGTGTGTGAGTGTGTGTGTTTTGTTGTTGCTGTTTTTGAGTCAGAGTCTCACTCTGTTGCCCAGGTTGGAGTGCAGTGGTATAATCATGGTTCACTGCAGCCTCAAACTCCTGGGCTCAGAAGATCCTCCTGCTTCAGCCTCCCTAGTGGCTGGGATTACAGGCACACCCCACCATGCCCACGTAATTTTTTTATTATTTGTAGAGACAAGGTCTCACTATGTTGCCTAGGCTGGTCTTGAACTCCTGGGCTCAAGCAATCCCCCTGCCTTGGCTTCTCAAAGTGCTGAGATTACAAGGGTGAGCCATCGCACCTGGCCTCACAATGTAGGTTTGATGCCACAGTCTTAGGGTATTCTCTTTCTATACCGATTCCCAGAAACTGGGGGGAAAGGACTGCAGTGACCTCTGCCCCCTCCCCACAAAACCTAAAATTATTTTCAAGACAGATTACTTCTCTTCATCTATACTGTTAGCAGTGCAGTCCATACCATCACAGTTGCTAGCAATTTCCACCAAGATGCCTTTTCCAGTTCATTTTCTTAAAAGTTTCCCAACATGGTGGGAATAAAACCCAGGTTCTGGCCAAGTGCGGGGATTCATGCCTGTAATACCAGCACTTTGGGAGGCCGAGGCAGGAGAACGGCCTGAGCCCAGGAATTTGAAATCAGCCTAGGTAACACAGCAAAACCTTGTCTCTACAAAACACCAAAAAGTTTGCCGGGCATGATGGTATATACCTGGATTACCACTACTTGGGAGGCTGAGGAGGAAGGATCGCCTGAGCTCAAGAGGTTGAGGCTATAGTGAGCCGTGATTGTGCCACTACACTCCAGCCTGAGTGACAGAGTGAGACCCTGACTCAAAAACGCAAAATAAAATAAAAGAAAACCCAGACTCTTCCCCATAGCTGCTGCTTCCCTTACCCAGCTCAAGGCCTTACTGGTGTCTTCCCCTGCCCAAGGCTCTGTCCTCTGGCCTTTGGGGGCAGCCCCTTGGATTCGCAGATAGAAGCTGACAGTCACTTTCTCACAGCAACTTCCCAACTAAAGCTTCTTGCCACCTCAAATATGTCCTCCCTCCACCCCCTGCTTGACCGCCTTTTGTCATACTTTTCCCACTGTTTCCCCAGTGGTGTGTACCCCATACGGGGCGGGCATTTAGTAACAGACAGCAACAAACAGTTGCTAAATAAAGAACCCCCTGGGCCCGGGTCTTCCACCACAGAAGTCACACAGGGTTTGTACCAGCTCCAATGGGCTCCTTTTTCCTCTTCCTTCAAATTTCTTTTTTTCTTTTCCTTTCCTTCTTCCTGAGTCAGAGTCTCACTCTGTCACCCAAGCTGGAGTGCAATGGCACGCTCATGGTCACCCCATCATTAACCTGCAGGGCTCCGGTGATCCTTCCGCCTCAGCCTTCCAAGTAGCCGGAACGACCGGTGCGTGCTACCACGCTCGGCTAATTTTTGATTTATTGTAGAGACGAGGTCTCACAAAGTTGCCCGGGCTGGTCTCAAACCCGTGGGCTCAGGCAATTCTCTTACCTCCACCTTCCAATGTGCTAGGACTACAGGCATGAACTACCGTACCTGGCTTTCTTCGAATTTCTATCATGGTCACCCTTTATCTTCACTTTACCAGCGAATCTCCCTAGGAGTGCCTTGGGTTTCCTCAAATTAGCCGAAGTGGGTAAATCCCTAGTCGCTCCCGTTTGGAGTCCCCACGACCACTGAGTAGGGACTTGGCTCTCACACAGCTTCCCTGGGACAGTTCCATGCAAGCAGTTCTGAACAGCTGGGCATGTCTGGACTGACTGGCACATCTCCCAGATGGACAGACTTCTAAGTGTCCTCCTTGTCTCAGGCTCACTCCTCCCCTACATGTTGTGGCCTTTCACTGAACTGAGGTATGCGCTGAAAATTCAGGGAACTGGCGAATCATGCAGGGATGTAGGGACAGGACACAAATGTGGTGAGCACGTGGGCTAGTTTCCCTAAGAGGTCCCTAGGATTACGTGCTGGCTTGAATTGGTTTCTTCCCCATGGGGTAAACCAGCAGTTCATCAAGCAGCATTTGGCTAAACCTAGTACATTGAGATCAATACACTGAGATCCCTTTAGCTAATGGCCATTCATTCAGCGCCACTTTAAATTCATTTTAGAGTCTTCCCCCATTACTGGAGATATTTTTAGAGCCTGAAATAAAAGGCAAGCTAAAATCATATCTTTCTCTTTCATACTCAGAAGCACACTCTTTTTAAGCTGTTTGGGGTGGACATAAATGAAAGAAATGATCGCTTAAAAAAAAAATTGAGCTAGACACAGTGGCTCATGTCTGTAATCCCAACACTTTGGGAGGCAGAGGCGAGAGGACTGCCTGAGTCCAGGAGTTTGAGACCAGACTGGGCAACTTGGCAAGACCTTGGCTCTACAATAAATCAAAACATTAGCCGGGCATGGTGGCACACACCTGGAGTTCCAGTTACTTGGAAAGCTGAGGCAGAAGGACTGCCTAAGCCCAGCAGGTCGAGGCTGTGGTAGCCATGAGCATGCCACTGTACTCCACCTTGGGCAACAGAGTGAGACTCTGACTCCAAAAGAAAAAAAGTTTTGAGAACCAATATTTGAGGGCAGAGAACTGTTCCCTGATTTATATTTGACAAAATGGATTATTTGTACATAACTGGGCTATGTTTTAGATGGTAATTAACCTTTTATATGATACAGATCTTGGAACCTAAGCAATTAAGAAAGAGAAAAATAGAAATAATTATGACCTACCTCCACAAGAGAAAAGGCAACAGGTTTGGACTATGGTGCATTTTGGAATGTTTTTATGGCATCTGTAACATCTTTTGCATAATGTGTAAGGGAAACAACTGAATTGCATTAATGGCAACTCATCTATGGTAAAAGTTCAAGTGCAATGCAGTGAAGCAGGCAGAGTAGCATGAAAAGGACCTCGTGATCGTGTCTTACGTGAAGCAGAGCCCTTTGCAGGACTTCTCACGGTGTTGCAATTCCTGAAAGCTACTGAGCTCACACTAATAAATGCTGTGCTGACATCTAATTGACACTAATTAACACCAATGGTGATACTAAAAATATCCAAAATACTATGGATAAACAGTACAAAACTTGCCACTTCAGGAAGATCAAATTGGGCAAATGTCCCGAGGCTCTTGGAATAACTGAGGAGTAAAACTGCTACAAACTTATGTACAGGAAAAACAACTCCATGAAGCTCAGAAGCAAAGTAAGGGTAGGAGGTATATCTTTCTCATATATATTTTTTAAATACTCTAATGTCTCAAGTGTGGGCCAATTGGATGTTTTTATAGGGATAGGAATTGGACTAAACTCACTGTTATCAAAAGCCATTGTCACCACCTGATATTTATATTTTAAGAAGAAGAATATTTTGTGTACATTTTGGATCTCTGGCATGACACAAATGTTCTATGTGAAGTTAAGTCTCTTTTGTATTGTTTGCTTGTTGTTCGTCCAGCTTTGCTTCTGGAAAAACAAAGAAAAAAGCAGAAAAGCTCACTTAGTTTGGGTACCGGCTGTGTGTCCCAAAACTGGTATCTGTGCTTTGCAGCCTCGTCAATGTTCCTGGCTGGGCCCTGGCACGCGGATAACAGCTCCATTGCCCTCTGGATGTCTTGCAACTTCTGCATTGGAATGCTGGGATTCTATAACAGTGGAGAGAGAGACACAGAATATCAGAGAGCTGTCATTGCTCCTGAACTTGGGGCAGAAGCACAGGTATCGTCCTCGGAGACTATAATACCTAAAAACTAACGGATCCTCCTCTAAGCCTGGTCAGGGCTACAGGGCTCAAGTTTGTTATATATGAAAACAGAAGCAGACTGGGCACGGTGGCTCATGCCTGTAATCCCAACACTTTGGGAGGCCGAGGTGAGAGGATTGCTTGAGGCCAGGAGTTTGACACCCCTTCTGGGCAACCTAGCAAGACTCCATCTCTACAAATACACATAAAAATAAATAAATAAAAAATTATCTGGGCGTGGGCATACACCTGTAGTCCCAACTGCTCAGAAGGCTGAGGCAGGATGACTGCTTATGCCCAAGGCTGCAGTGAGCTATGATTGCACTACTGCGCTCTAGCCTGGGTGACAGAATGAGCCCTGAACTCTTAAAAAAAAAAGAAAAAAAGGAAGAAAGAAAGAAAAGAAAATAGAAGCAAACCTGTTCTATTAAAGATAATGACAGTTGTCTAGTTTGCATGGAACTTTGGCAATTTGGGGACCTAAGTAAACCAGGGCACTCTTTGCTTCAGTGTCACATCCATCTGCAATGGTTCCCAGCATTACTCCTCTGGGGGGAGAAGCCCAAAGGAGGGACATGCAATTGCATGCATCACCGTCACACAGCAGCCAGGCAGCCACAAGCCTCAGGGGCACTGTCAGGGTTAACGCTCTGCAGAAGCAATGGGAGATGAGGGAAGGAACTTCTGGAACGGATACTAGGCAGACGAGGGAAACTTTAGTTCATTAACAACAACACACACACACAAAAGGTGACAAAAGAAAGAAATCTGAACTTAGTGCTGAGCTGGGGAGGAAATTATCAAGAAAGGAAACTTCTAACCATGTCGCTTCCTCCTGGACTCCACCCTGCCTTTCTCCTGACCCTCACGATCCTGGGGGGACAAAGCCTCCAGCCAGAAGGACGAGCAGTTTCCTTTGTAAATCAGATCCTTGGCAACCAGAGCCTGTTGTTTCCCAGCCCAAGTGTTGGCAATTGGCCTCCTCTTTAGGTAAAGCGGCCTCCTTTTTAGGACAGTAGCTTTAAACTCCAAGGTTCCCTTCTCAAAGCCAATATTCCCATAATCTCTTGAAGAGTTCTCAGCTTTTAAAAAATTCCTCAATTAATGTAATAACATATGGAACACGAGACTAGATTTGGAAAGAGAAGCTGGTGCAGAGGACTGACTATGGAACTCAGTGGCATCTTTCAATAGGCAAAATTACTGCAGAGTTATAGAATTTTGATGCCATACAAAGAATATTCTTTGCTGTAACTCAGAAGTGGTTAGAAGAAATGCTAGAGCCCTTTGCTTTTGCTGTATGTCAGCACACCTCAGACACCAGTGAAAGCTACAATTGACCCTCAGTGGTTTATAAACAGCGACTCTGGACTTCTGCTTGACTTGGAATCTGAAATCTGTGGTCTGGAGCAGATCGTATTAACCTGGGAAGCTCACTCAACGGACACAGTACAGAACAGAGTTTATTCAACAGACAGTCTCATGGTTACTTTTTTCACAGGGTTTCCTTAGGGTTCTTGACACTAAAACCATGCAGGAAACAAAGTCTAACTTGAGATCGGCTACAGTCTTCACTTAGAAGAAGTCTAACAGCACAACTCAGGGCAGTCATAGTTTTTGTAAGCAGTTTATCTTACATTTGATTAAGATCAGAATCATAAAGATCTTATCTTAATGACACATACCAATTTAATAAAGTACTTTTCCTGTTCTAGCTTACTGTATTTTTGGGATGACTTCTTTTGCTTGGGTCTCTTTTGAGTCTCCAACATGAGAAGTAACTGATTTCTAGTAATATGAAATTGACGTCCATTTGACCACAAACAACATAAACTACTTGGAGACCTACAGCTTACATAGGAACTGAGATCATAGCATATTTCAACTAATGATGTTTAAACATGCATTGGTTTGACTTAAAAAGGCAAAGCAGAACCCAGTCTTACAAAAATAGATCTACAATGTCTATACTGAATTTGTCATGGTTAATGTTTCTCCCTTGATTTAACACCCTCCCCCCGATTCCTTGCCTGATTTCTGAGTTAAATCTCTTGACACCAATACATCAAACTATTTCGCAACAGACATGAATCAGCATGTTTGTGCCAAAGAACTCAATGACCAAAATGAATGATGAAGTCCATAATGACCTTAGAGTGGTTTATGCCGCCACTTCATTGGCCTCGTCAGGTTGACCAGCACACACTACGTGAAATGACCATTCATGAAATGACCATTCATGAAATGACTATTCGCGAAATACCGATATCCTAATGCTCACTATTTAAATGCTTTCCGAAAGTAGATTCAAGTAAGCACAATTCCCAAACCCACTGTGAAAAAGCAGGAAGGAAAACTCAGCTATGATAGGTTCTTAAGCCTATCCAGTTACCTTTTGTGGCAGCACCACCTGGGGAGAAATGAAGGCAGGTTAGGAAAGGTAAGGACAATTATCTGCCCACATCAAATTCTACTATTCTATTCCTGTTAAGAGGCAGGTATTCCTCTATGCTACATACTAAATACTAAACACTAAAATACTAAACCTCCACTATACACTCTGCCCATTATTTTCTAAATTTAATACCTTGGAAATAACGTCCAAGTCCTCTACTACTAAGAAGCCTATAAGAATTCAGACAAATATAATTTTATTTTGGTTCTTGCACGTAGACTAGAATATGAGGGAGGACCCCCACGAAAAAAAACCAGAATTATTTATTAATGGGTAGACCCCTTGGAGTACAGCCTTTCCCCGCTAGGTAAGTGTTCCAGGAAGCCCTTGGCATCAGTGCACCAGCTAGCATTGTTGTGAGAGGCTGTGTTCAGCTTCTGTGAATTTCGTTTTGGAGATTCTTTCAACATGTTTGTCCATTTCATGACGGGCGATTTACAAGCGCACCTGCCCACACCATGCTGAGTTGTACAGCAGTGTTTGACCAAAACTGGCGCGACCCTGTGCCCCTGTCTCTCCATTCACCCAATCTCACCCTAAGCGACCATTTTTTTGTTTCCTGCATGAAAAAAGTCCTCAAAGGGAAGCATTTTGCTGACGTGGAAGACTGGAAACAAAAACACGGCAGAAGCACTACGTGCAACAAAATCAACAAGTTCAAAAACTGTTGTGAGCAGTGGAAAAAGCCTCTCAATAGGTATACTGCACCACATGAAGAGTACTTTGAAGGTGACTGAAGTTTAAACATGTAAGAATACATGCACCATTTTTAATAAATAAATTCTGGTTTTTTGGGGTCCCCACTCATATATAGTATTTTATAATGTAAAATCTCTTCAATAAAAACAATCAACTTTTGGCCTGCTGCAGTGGCTCACCTGTAATCCTAGTGCTTTGGGAGGCCAAGGGGGAGGATCGCTTGAGGCCAGGAGTTTAAGACCAGCCTGGACAGCATAGCAAGACCCCATCTCTAAAAAAGAAAAAAATTTTAAAAATTAGCTGGGCATGGTGATGAGCACCTGTAATCCCAACTATGTGGGAAGCCAAAGCAGGAGGAATGTCTGAGCCAGGAATTTGAGGGAGCAGTGAGCTATGATCATGTCACTATACTCCAGCCTGGACAACAAGGGCGAGAAAAATAAAATAAAGTCACAAAACTTGCCCAGTGTTAATAACTGCCAAATACAGTGTTTCATAATGTAAATGCTTTTATTTCTTTTTTAAAAGAAGAAATTTGAAATGACCAAATTTTAATCTCAGGGCAGCCCTGTGAGTTGGCTTCAGTCCCATTTTACAGAAAAGGAAGCAGGCTGAAGGAGTGCAGGACCTGGCACAAAGGCAGGCTGATCATGAGCAAGGGAGCAGAGGCCAAGTTCAAGGCCTCCGAGGCTAGCCCTGAGCCATTTCCACGACACCACACACAAGCCATGATAACTTACTCGGAGCTGCAATCATCAAAGCTATCTCTACTTCGTGATCCTTCTAACTCTACCCTCTTTTCACTGTGAGTTTCTTGCATCAAGAGGGCTTTGTGCTTCCCGGAGGCCCAGCACACAGGGTGCCCGGGGGTTGGCTCCACAGACTGGGGTGGCCGCCATCTGTGCCACCAGACGCCCGCGCGGCACAACCAACCCTTTGCTCAGCCGGCTGCCTGCCAATGCGGGGCCCAGCTGGACAGCTTTTGGTCTGGTCTAAAACGGGTGTTTCTTCAGGGGGAATGTGAGGAGAGGTTTCCCATCCCTGGTAACGGAACGAAGAGCGGCTACTGAGGACTGGACTGATTCAAAGTCAACGTGAGACTTACCCATGGCTGCTCCCGTTGAAATCTGCTGCCAGATGGCGTTGTGCTATTCAGGTAATTAGACAGACACCCAGGAAAATCACAATGTGAATATCTTCTGAACTCAAAGTAATCACACATTAAGTGTTAACTTCAAAAAATCCTAACTAGCTCACATTGAGACTTTGCTCTAGAACTACAATCTAAATACGAATTCACTGAGGAAAGGGGAATACAGGAGGTACCCACATACCCACATACACACAAAAGCATAGTATGTACCTCTCAGCTACTGGGTGCCAAAGTCAGTTTTAAGGAGGCTGTCAATACCTTCCAGTTACTAGTGCCATTCAACACACAGTCACAACAAAACCCTCACACATTTGATCCAATAGGGTGCTAAGCTGTGTAAACCCACTCATTTGCAGGAGAAACCACAGAGGTGAAAATAAAACAGAGCTCTCACTTTTGAAGGCTGCTGAATTTTAATCTCCTGGGAATCGGAAGCAGAGTCTGACTTGGTGCCTCCAGAATTTGGCTTCTCCTTTCTTCTCTTCTGTTTCTTCTTTTTCTTTTTGGCTCCCAAATCCCCTCCAGGACTTCTGAAGAAAATGCAAAGGGAGTAAAATAAACCCCCCGAAAGTCATTATATAAAATTAAGTTGCACAAAACGAATCATTTAGAAAGACACGTGTTATGCACAGCAGAACATAACTAAGTTAGGGTGGAAGTGGGAAATGAACGGTAGTCAGATGCAGAAGTTAACAGACGATGCAGGAGAATGAAGATCTGTCCACACTCAGTCACCCGGCAGGTGCTTAGCTGCCATTTAAGTAGGAAAACTGTACAAATAAACCACATTTTATAACAGAATTCAAACCGTTTTCCCAGTTATCACTGCTCTCCTAATCGACTTTTTAGTCAGCTTTCTGAAGCAGAGATACACGAGACGAAATACTCCGTTATGAACAGCTCTTGGATACAACAAACCATCAGTCTGAAGCAATGGGAGAAACTTCCTTTTTGCAGAGGAGGAAATTTTTCCTGATAAAGATTTTTTTTTTTTTTTTGAGTTGGAGTCTCACTCTGTCGCCCAGAGTGGAGTTCAGTGGCCGCTCCCGGCCACCGCAGCCTCGACCTGCTGGGCTCCGGCGATCCTTCCGCCTCAGCCTTCCGAGTAGCCGGAATTACAGGGGCGCGCTACCATGCCCGGCTAATTTTTTGATTTATTGTAGAGATGAGGTCTCGCCTGTCCAGGCGGGTCTCGAACCCGCGGGCTCAGGCAATCCACTCACCTCAGCCTCCCAAAGGCGCGGGATTACAGGCTGAGCCACCGAGCCTGGCTCTGATAAAGATTTTAACTAGGAAAACTGATAATAATTTTTAAAAACTCTAAGGGGAAAAAAACATGAACCAATGACACATTTCCGTTTGGAACCTTTGTCATTTTTTAGCTTTTGTTTTCTGAAAGAGCAAAAGGAAAAAAGAAAACAAGATACAAGAAAATTTAAATCTTTCTTTTATTTGGGCCTAATCTAGCACAGAATTCCCAGAATGTGAATTAAAATTTCGAGTTGGAGGTTATGACTGCATTATCACCCAATGTAGGGAAAAGTGATGGAAACAATTGATCTCAATCAATCTGTCCCTTATTTTCTTTCTTGGGTTTTGACCTAATTGTCACATGTATACTCATCACACAAGACCTAAATGTCATTAATATATATTAATGGCCTTATGATACTGTCCCACAGGAGTAACCAATTGTTTTTCTGGTATACACGCTTCTAAAACTGTCTTTCTCTTCTACATATGTCCTCATTTGTACCATGAGTAACTTTAAAAAAAAAAATTGAATCCTTTTTTTTTTTTTTTTGTAGTAGTCTCACTTTGTTGTCCAGGCTGGAGTGCAGTGGCATGCTCACGGCCACCACAGCCTCAATCTGCTGGGCTCAAGCAATCCTTCTGCCTCAGCCTTCCAAGTAGCTGAAACCACAGGCACGCACCACCATGTTCAACTAATTTGTTGAGTTACTGTAGAGACAAGGTCTCGCTCAGTTGCCCAGGCTCAGGCAATCCTCTTGCCTCACCTCCCAAAGTGCTGGTATTACAGGTGTGAGCCACTGTGCCCGACACAAAAATCGAATCATACACATACTATTTTGAAACATTTTTTCTTCCTTCCGCTTAACATATCTTGGAGTTCTTTCTGTGTCAGGATATACAGTTGACCCTTGAGCAACGCAGGTTTGAACAACTCAGGTGGGCTTCTCTGTGGATTTTCTTCTACCTCTGCCATGCCTTCCCAACATGAAGATGATGAGGATGAAGACATTTATGATGATCCACTCCCGCTTACTTCACAGTGACTACATTTTCTCTTCCCTGTGATTTTCTTCACAGCATTTTCTTTTCTCTAACTTATTTGATCAGAAGAATACAGTACATAATAAATATAATGGACAAAATATACATTAACGGACTGTTTATATTACTGGTAAGGCTTCCAGTAAACCCTTGGCTATTAGTAGTTAAGTTTGGGGGGAGTTCAAAGTTATACTCAGATTTTCAACTGAGTTGGAGGGGGTGTCAGTGTTCCTAACCCCTGCATTGTTCAAGGGTCAAGGTATTGAGTGACCTCCTTTCTTTTTAGCAGCTGGATAGCCTTCCATGGTGTAGACGAATCACATTTTATTTAATCATTCCTGTATTTAAGACCCTGCTCTCCAAAAAATATGCTGGTGCTTACTTCTTTGTGCATTCAAACTACTATATCTAAAAAGGGAGAAATGCCAGGTCAAAGGATACACACATTTTTTGCTTTAATTAATAAATAATTAAGACTACCTTCCTAAATACTGCAACAATTCTCACACCACCAAGAGTAAATCCATCTTTGCCAGCATTGAAATAGTATCATTCTTCTTCATCCTTCAAAGTCTTATGATTGGAAACAAATCTCATTGTAGACTTAATTTTCGTTTATTTAACTAGGAGTGAGGCTACACATCCTGTCAGGTGTTTATTGGCCATTTATATTTTACCATAAATTGCTCATTTACATCCCTTTCCTATAAGCCATCTTTTTCTTTTCTTTTCTTTTCCTTTCTAAATAAAAAACCAGCCAAGTGTCGTGGGTCACACCTGTAAACCAGCACTTTGGGAGGCTGAGGTAGGAGGATTGTTTAAGGCCAGGAGTTGGAGACCAGATTGGACAACATAGTGAGATCACACCTATACAAAAAAAAAAAAAAAAAATCCCTACTCAGGTGGCTGAGGTGGGAGGATCACTTGAGTTCAGGAGTTTGGGTTGCAGTGAGCTATGATCACGCCACTGCCCTCCAGGCTGGGTGACAGAGCAAGACCCTGTCTCTAAAATAAAATGAAATAAATTGATTCATTAGTGTTTTTATAAAAGCATGGATAGCACCTATTATTTATTAAGTATTTCACTTAATCCTCACAACAGCTCCAGGAGAGAGATACTACTTTGTTTAATTACATTGCCTAGTTTGTTGTCTGTTATTTGACTGCAAATATTTTTTAGTTTTTTTTTTAGCTTTCAACTTATTTATGGTATCCTTTCCTGTATAGACATTTAAAATTTTTATGTAGTCTAATATCTAAAACATTTCCCTTGTGGCTTCTTGGCTTTTAAATCTTACTTACAAAGCCCTTTCCTATTCCAAAATTACATAAATAGCCTTTCATACTTTTCTCTATTATTTTAATGGCTTCAAAAAATAGCTTTCTAGCTCACTGGAATAAAATGTATACAATGTAGTCTACTGTGTCCTTACTTTTCAAAAATACATTCTAAATACAAGAAAGCCCCACTGGAAAAAAACTTGTTAATATAAGGTTCAGACCATATTGTCCAAATACTAACAGGCAGATAGAATAAGAGAGGCTGGCATGCCTACTTCTTGGCTGCTCATTCATTTATTCATTCAACAATGACACAGTGAAGTCCATCTTGTGCCAGATACTGCTCTAGGTGCGAACGGCGTTAAGACACAATTGGCAATTCCTTACTGCTTCTCTCATCGAGAGGTAGGGTCTATCCCTTCCCTTGGGTCTGGGAGGTTTGCTTGGACCCACTCTCAAGACACAGGGGAAATGACACTATGTGACTCCAAGGCTGTTCCGTTTCCACCTGTCCCCTTGGGATGCTCACTCTGGAGGAAGCCTGGAGCCCTGTAAGAAGTCTGGCTGCCCTGAGACCACCAGGTTGGTGGACAGCTTCCTAGACCGAGCAGCTGAACTTCCAGGCAGCAGCTGCATCCCCTGCCAGCCATCTCCGACCATCAGCTCAGCCAAGCCTGCGGGGGACTCCTGCCCCAAGCAACAATGACTGCTACAATGGTGCGTGAGAGAGACCTCAAAGGACCCACAGACTCTGTGGCCGTTGTCTTAAGCCACCCAGTTTGTGATGATCTGCTTTGCAGCAATACATGAGGGAACAGAAATTTGCTATCTGAAAGTGGACGGCTGCTGTGATAAGCAAAAGAACCCAAAACAGGTGGCCCTGGCCTTACGACCAGGGCCAGGTAGAGCTGGCAATGCACCGAGGAGCCTGCTGGAGAAGTCAATGGCCTGAGAAGGCTGTCAACGAGGGCCTGAAAGAAATGAAACAAATGTTGGCGACAGACCCAGGAAAGGACGCCTTTGTCATGTAGCAGAAGCAAAGAATCATTTATAAACTCACCAGCAACAGTGAAGAAAACAGAAAATATACCTAAGGAACTGGATACTCTAAATAAAAAGATTTCTTGGCAAACTGCTGGAAACGCTGGCTGCCTCTAGCTGTCTATAATAAAGGGAGAGAGATTAATCAAATAATGGCTATTCAGGTCTTCAGTAGAATTTAGAGAAAATATAAACCTAGCCTTTATTTGCTAGATTCAAAACTAAAACTGTTTCTCATCCCTAGCATTTCCAAAGGTGAAGGATTTGCATATCAATAAATACCTCAGGACAAAAAAAATCAAACCAAGGGTAGTGCTGTCAGATCTTTTGTGAAGCCCTCAGAAAGATCTAGTAGACATTTCAACCAGACAAAAGGCCTTCTGATTTCTGAAGGATCAGTCTTGTATATTCTCCTTTTTTTTTTTTTTTTTTTGAGTTGGAGTCTCACTCTGTCGCCCAGACTGGAGTGCAGTGGCCGCTCTCGGCCACCGCAGCCTTGAGTGCTGGGCTCTGGCGATCCTTCCGCCTCAGCCTTCCAAGTAGCTGGAACTACAGGCGTGCACTACAACGCCCGGCTACTTTTTGATTTATTGTAGAGGTGAGGTCTCGCCAAGTTGCCAGGCGGGTCTCGAACTCGCGGGCTCAGGCAATCCACTCACCTCAGCCTACCAAAGGCACGGGATTATAGGCTGAGCCACTGAGCCCAGCTATATCCTCCTTTTAAAGGCATGGTCTCACCAGCGGCTTCTGGGGAGCCCAAGGTTAAGAAAAGCTCATGTCCAAGACATGTGGGTGTGGCTTT